CACACACACACACACACACACACACACACACACACACACACACCTAACTGAAATGGCAATTCTGCTTGGGAGATGCCCATAGCTTTAATCTATTTCAGGGCTATTTTTGCAAAGACAACTTTCTACTCTGATTCCCAGTTCCCTATGTGCATTTTTATTTATCTACTTAACTATTTTACCAGCCAATATAAGAAACAGAGGCAATGTGCTGGGTGGGAAATAAAAGTTCAAAAATCCCTACAAAAGCTTGCACCTCTTTTTCACTTTTAGAGATTAGATAGATTTGTACCTTATCAATTCAATGTATGTCTTCCCAACCAAGTGACTCCCCAAAACTTTATTATAATGGGCCTTGCATTTTCTGTGGCTTCACTGTGTATTGTCTTCCAAAACCCTTGCCAGCAGAGCTGTAGACAGTAGATGACTGTTTTAATAACCAAGGGATCTTAAGAGACTTTGTTTTGGGTAGCTACTAGACATGAAAGTTTTCTGTACTCTCCCACCCAATCTTAACAGTTTGCATAGGGACTTTTATTGGGTTAATTACATGCAACACCCAGAAGGTCTCAACAAGACCTTTTAAACCTTTTATCTCAGGAGTATGTCCTTGGCCAGCACATGAGAGCAAAAAGGCAAGCTAAACACTCATTCTAAGGTGGAGAGATCATAATGAGGAGGCTCTAAATCCTAGATACAGTTTGATGGGCAACTGGTGGTCACTTTTTCTTGATCACCTTCCCCAACAGTGGGAGCAAAGCGAGGAGCAGTAGAGCTCCCTCCAGATGGCATGGGGTCAAGGGAAGTTGGGGGTTGCCGGTTGGGCAGTACCCAGGCCTGACCCAACTGCTTGTTCTTGCAGCGCTGGTTCTGGTTGGTGAGAGTTCTTCTCAGTCTGTTCATAGGAGCAGAAATTGTAGGTGAGTGTGTGGTGCAACCAAAGGGGAGAGGACCTGGAGTGAGAAGGGAGGTGGGTAGCGGACACCTGGGAAAATGGCACCTGGGGTTACCTTCAGCTCCTTTCAGTGCCAGTTCTTCTTTCCTTGCTGTGCATTGGATCACTAGGTTCAATTTTTGTACATCTCCTACATTATACCATCTCTTATCACCACTTTCCGAATTCCATCTTTGCATTCTTTCCACCCCTCCAACTCCAATTGTGTTCTTTTTTCCAAAGCTGTGCACTTCAGTACAGAATGGTCAGTGGGCAGCATTAACACCACCACATCCTATAAAGCCTTCAGTTCAGAGCGAGTTCGAGCTGATGTCGGTCTGCATGTGGGCTTGGACGGCATTAACATTACACTCACAGGTGAGGGAACTGGGGTGTGACCTCCTTGGGTTGGCGGACCCCACGTTTGGGGAAGTGTTTGTGGAAGTGTAGCAGACGCAGATGGTGGAGCTTTCACCCCAAACTCAGCGCTTGATCCTGCTGGATTTGTGTTTTTCCAGACACACTGCCAAACCCATTTCTCTCGCACCCTCACTTTTCTACCCGAATCCCCTAAGTTGTTCTGTCGGTCTGCGTACAGCCCTATGACCCTGCTGCTCTCTTCAGGGACCCCAGTGCTGCAGCTGAATGAGACCATAGACTACAACGAGCAGTTCACCTGGCGGTTTGGCGAGAACTATGAGCTGGAGTATTCGGGAGCACTTGAGAAGGGGCTGCCGGATCCAGTTCTCTATTTGGCGGAGAAATTCACCCCCAGCAGCCCCTGTGGGCTCTACCGCCAGTACCGCTTGGCTGGACACTATGCCTCAGCCATGCTGTGGTGAGCGTGGGGAGGAATCCTGGAGAGGGGCCCTGGGCGGGGCTGGGCTAGGGCGGGAGGGAGGGTGAGGGGTCGTGTGAACCGGAGGTTGTGAGCTGCAGCTACAGCCGGACAAACTCCGAGAATTACTGTCCCGCGGGTATTAAGGTCACGGTCTGCACAGACCATAGGAATTCAAAAACCCAGCCAAGGCTGAGAGCCGGCTACCTCCCCGGGGTACCTCCCCCCAACCCCCCGTTCTCTCAGCCC